TGAGTATCGCCATTCCTAGCATCACACAACAACTCGTCAAAGAGACAAGTGAATGTACCACGTCCATGGTCCTACTCTGGAAACGATGATGCATACAATTGACTCCAGACTAGGTGCGTTTCTTTAAGTCTTCCTACCAATATGACCGAGTTGCGAAAACAAGGTCAAACAACTTCTTATTTAACGAAAGGAGACTGCGGTCCTACCATTATGACCAAGTTGCGAAAACAAGGTCAAACAACTTCTATACAACGAAAGGAGACTGCGACCGCACAAAAGGCCACACTATCTTGGTCTTTATACCTTCGTTTAATAAATGCACTTTGTCAGGTCTCCTCTGTCTTATTGGTTCAGTGTCGGACTATATATACTTATTGGTATACTTTTGGTACCTTTCTTTTTGGTATACTTGGTATATTTCCTGACGTTTCGCTAGCATCTCTCCAGTCCTGGCACCAAGTAACAACTCCTCATATCGATATGTAAACCAAGATATTGCGGCATTTGTTTTGGTCGCACTTCCCTTTCTCTGTATAGAAATGGTGTGACCTTGTTTTCACAACTTGGTCGGGTTGTTCCGGAGACTTAGATGAACACCTCTTTTTTGAAGTCCTCTGTCTAGTAATTATGATAATAGCGTCGGGGCATGGACTTGGTACGCTTTCAGAAGTTTTGCCGACATCGCAGTCATAATCGTCATTGTATCTCGGCATTCTTAGCACCAAACGGTTATGCTATCATTTCTCCTGTCTTGGTGAGTGAGATACGAAGATAAAAAGTAGATAGATGTACGTTTGGCAGAAACTTGGTCAAGGGATTGATTTCACTTGTCTCTGATGCGTTTTAGTTGTGCTAAGAAGAGTAAGCCTCATTGAAGATACCGGCGAAATGTCTTTAAATGTGCTAAGTCCACAGTCTGACGATGGGAATTGTCATAACTATTACATTGGAGAACTTCAAGTAAATTCCGTTCAACTAGATTGCCATGTCAGCACTACTAGATTGCAAAAGCGAAGTCAAATCACTTCCTCAAATATATTTATCAGATCCATCATTTGACTAAATTTCCACTTAACAGTTGTGCTATTTCTTATTCTGTACCGGTACATTCATTTTTCCCATATCTTCGTATCTTCAACTTTATTATGACAACGTCGAACTTGTTTTTTATAGCCTACTACAGAGGTGTGCCCTTCTAAGTTGGTTAGTGAAGTCTAATCACACTCCTGAATTCCTTTTCGCCTCCTATTGTGGTGAAAATAATTGATAAAGCCTATAGGCTAGTCCATTCACATCCAATCCATTCTGTGGCCCCAAAAACCGTTCCTCATCACACTTGTTCTCTTATTTCACTTGGCTTCTATCACTTACATCGCTATTTCCATCAAAGGCTTGACGACCTGTTTACTCTGGCCTTATGATCAGGCCCCCAAAGTCTGGATACTTAATCCACCTGAAAGATAAGCTTAACAATGTAATTTACCTTTTCTTAGTCCGGCCTGTCTACATGGTAAATCTCATGCTTGAGCATTCACATTACGGAGCACTTATATGTACTGTGAGCTAAATGTCTTTTGATTTATTCTTGTTTCCACATCCTCTCTTGTGCTTTATTGCTTCTTCCTGGGAACATTTAACAAATTGGCATGCTAATTGGCCATACTTTATAGAATAGATTAGTTTCAGGAGGCTTTATGGGCACTTCGAATTGACACTTTTAGGCTAGCTTATCTTGCATATTATAATACGTCACTAATCCTAAACGAGTGGCCTGCTTTCATATTGTGTAAAAGTGCTTGCTCAAAGACTGACAAGTTGATCACACCAGAAGACGACGACCGATTTTTATCTGTTTGATGTACTTATAGGCTTCTGGAGCTTTCTGGCTAACGCCGTTCTCGAGACACCCGCATTTATTTCCAATGGAAGCGTGCTGAGCTTTCATCTATTTTATCCGGCAGATATAATTACGTTTTCCATAGCTTATTTCTCACTTAACGCTTTTCGGCTCGACCAGGTAGACTTTCTTCGTTATGTTATTATAAAGATGCATTTCCATGGGTAAAAAATGTCTGATCTTGATGTCCTTAATCAGATTGTATAATTCATCTGCATTACAAGAGCTATCATTGGGAGTCTCTATCTCGTGTTAGCACACGCACGGTCACACACAAGCTTAAACTAAATAAATCTATTATTATCACTCAAAATTAAATAAATAAATATATATATATGATCAAACCTGTCTACTGTCAGCCAACTAGCTCTTGTCTCCACCGCGTCTATCCTGTTTCTATCCGTAATACCAAGTCTATGAATTCCTATGCCCTAGTCTCTTGTGTACCAACCCACAAATGTTTTGGCACTACTTGTTTTGATTAGGTTCAATTTAGAACCACAACATTTGTGGGTTAACACAAAATAGACTGAGACATAGGAAGTCATTGACTTGTCACTTTGAATAGAAGCATATTAGATGGGGCGGAGAATATAACTGCTTGGCTAACAGTATATATGCTTAATCCAAGACGTGGTCCATGAAATAAAGACTTGATTATAAGAATTACTCAGAGGCTTTAGTCTCAAGTTAGTCTCCCAGAGGCAGGGTGTGGGAAATAACGCCTCGAGTTGCATAGATATGGTCGCAAGTGTCGAGTGAAATACTTGAACCAGGGAGATGTTACACGGATCCTACGGGGCGAGCGGGAAACTCTGATAAGACCTAGGTAAGGAGGTCGGCATAACAATAGGGCAGACTGATCAACATTTCCAGCACAAGGGTGAAGAGGATTGAAAAAGTCAGTGTGGGGTGTGGATAATTCTCAGGAAATCCGCTCAAAAGGGCTCACCATACCACATTTAAATAAGTAAAAATTGTGATACTGAAGGCGTGATACGAGGATATAAGATTGGTGATTAGCATAGAGGAGAAGGAGAGATACCAGGATTGTTTAGCAGACAATTGGTCAAAGGATTGGCTTCACTTGTATCTTTGACGAGTTGTAGTGTGGTGATAGAATTGACAATGCTCACTGACGATGTCGACTACGATGCCGATGAAACATCTGGGAATGTGCCAAGTCCACGGCCCGACTCTGTAAATTATTATGCATACTATGGACTCCGGACTAGATTCGTTCCTTAGGTCTTCCTGCCAATATGACCAAGTTACGAAAACAAGGTCAAATAACTTATATAAAACGACAGAATACTGCGACCGTAAAAAACCCCACAATCTTGGTCTTTATACCTTCGATTATTTATCAAACTTTAAGGGATATCAAATTATCGTCCTACAGACTTTGGAATTCCCTCTTGCTTATTTTGAATACAGCATAATCTTCAACAAACTAGACGATTGGGGTATTCAATCTAGACATTGTGTATGAAAGCATTTTGCTCCAAGAATGTGAAATCACCTCTGGCCATGTATCCATTCCAAAAACTGCAATAACTGATCGTGCCATAACTTTTGCCATCTTAACACACTGCTTCATTTCGTCACAACAAACCCAATCCAACCTAAAACATATTACTGATTTCATAAACACCCAAACACACAACCAGTTAATAACCTTTAGATTTTTGATATTTTAAATAAGATAATAAACCTAAAACTACTTACAAATTTGTCTATAAGGCTTGTCTCTGGACGAAAGCTTAGCCCGTTTTTACCTGAAAATAGGGAGGTCTCGTGAACTGTATCAATCTCAATGTCGTATAAAAGCCAAACAGCTTCAGTACAACGAGATTCAACCGTCCTCTTCTGATGAGATCGACCTTCGAATCTCTTCGTCATACAATCTCATACGAAATGAAAGTCCCAACAATAATGTTATATCAGGAGCTTCATGGAAACCCAGTTACTCTTCATATATTTGCTCTTTATTTCATATTCCTTAGCCCGCTTTTTGAACTTTGCTTCTAATAATAGCCACCTTTAAGCCTTCATTATACGCTAGGTAACTAATAAAAGTCTTACTGGCGCCCTTATCATCATTATAGTATTAATGAACTATATTCTGACTCCTATGTTGGCCCTCGCGACTGGCTTCCTTCTAAAGTTAACAAATTATCTGAACCTCGAGTACGAAATATGCGTCACTGCACGATTACCTTTTAGGTAATATTGGACATTTTAAGCGCGAATAATTAATTGCACCGTATTTTAACTTCCTTGATTCTGTATCTAGTGAGCCATGCTTCGTAGCCTTTCTGGAGCTTTGCTAAGGTCTAACTGAGGTTGTGATCAATTTCTCAATTACTAATTTCTTACAGCAATATATCTATGTATAATTTTTTGTTTTTCCTATTTCTAGCCTCTCATTGGACTTAAGCCTTATTGAATTCGGAAAGAGTTTCAGTAATTTTGGTTTAGTGATGCTAATTCCAATATCTGAGATGCCTATTATGAAGTCATCTTTCAGGCCATGCTTCACCCTAGCAACCCGCATGCGTTAACTTTAGTTAATCGATAATATTTGGGCTTCTTGACAGCCCTCTTGCACATACAAATATATACAAACTTTTATTAATTATATATTCGTTCTGAGTATGCTTTCGAGACTAGTTAATATATTCAATTATATATTTATGCTAAGTTCTACTTAGATCATTTGTATTTTTGAGCTCATTTTCCCGTATTAATCTGAGATATTTTGGCCGATCTCTGTATAGTCAGCTTCTTTTCTTAATTTTTTTTTGCTTATAGCCTCACTTCCTCGTCGATTTGCTTTGGCATTTCTCTCTGCTCTCCCTTCCACTTCATCTACATTTTACTCGGAGAATCTCAAAAGAGTCCTTCAATATTCCAATGTATCAGAACAGATGTCTCCTGAAGGGTCCAACTTGTTGCCTCGGCTTTTCGTGGCCGAAGGTCAATCTGCCGAGCTGCCTTGTCTCGTGCACTCCTCTCCATCGCCCATGACCCGATGGACAAGAGGTAAGATGCTATTAGCATTATTTCTGAATATAGGCCCAGAAACAAGACTCATTTTGTAGCAAACTATGTGGAAGAAAAGCGATCAAAATCATTTATGTCAATTTAATCTAGTAGTTAATTAATTAAAATAATCTTTACTTAGTTCCTTACTCATATACCATCAGAAAGTCCAACTTAGATTTATGGCTTGCTTTAGCGAATGTCACCTAACCGAGTTTGAGTATTTAAGGCTACCGAAATCTCTTGCAGCATAATGTTTATGTCGTGTG